GGGGGGGGGGGGGGGGGGGGAGCGCACACCTCACGAGTAATTCACCAACACTTGATCTACATCATATTTGCTGGGAAAGGTTCAAATGTCCTATTGACGGGTTATTTTTTGTGTGCTGTCAGAGGTCAGTGTATGGGAATCAGGTGCCACTGTCCTGCTGACAGTGATGCATTGCTGCGCTCAGGGGGTCACGTATCTGTAAACATGCATTATAAAATCCCAAAGACAAATGCGAGAGACTGACCCGAGAGAGAGAGAGGCAGAGAGGGAATGAGTGTGTGTCACGGGGGCAGAGATAGCGCTGTTGTTGCAAATGAAGAGGGTCAAGTAATCAAGCTCAGTTGGGCTTGTGTGTCACTCCCATTATCTAATACTGTCTGAAATGATCAATGAGCTAAAATAAAATGATCACAAGCTAAAATAGGCTCCCTAATGAAAATGGACTGTGTTTTAACACATTCTTCTCGATGTGTCTCCGTGTCAGAATGGAAAAGCCTATTTCAGCCGAGCGCACACAGATGCTCTCTCACGCTCACTTGAGCAGGGTCACTTAACCATTCAAGTGGCAGATCCACTGACCGGCAATCTCGACTCACAAATAACACCAGCTACAACCAATAACTACACATATCTACCTGCGTAACCATGACCCCTTCACTCTCAACCAGGGGCGGATCTAGAAAAATATTTATGGGGTGGCAAGAGGGGGGCAGGAATTTTTGAGGGGTGGCAACATGGCAGACGTATATATATACTAAATTTAATCACAGTCAACACAGTTTGATGAGAAATCGTATGTATACAAAAGGGCATTATTTGTATTATTATTTGTATCTTTTTTTGTGGGGGGGTTTGGGGTCACCTGTGAGTACAGGGCTGGACTGGGACAAAAAATCGGCCGGGGCATTTTGGCCCAGACTGGCCCACTACATATGATCATAAACACAACCGAACTTTGCACTCCCTTGAATATGTATACCAACTCCTATAAAAACCACTAATGTCATAAGTGAATAGGAGTGAGTAAGAGTTAACAGATGAAATAACTACTAAGTTGAATTATAGCCCCACTCCACAGTGATGAATGCTAAAACAAGCTATAAGCTGCATTGGTATAGCAATAGCGTTTTTTCCCACAGGATTTTGGGAAATCTGCGGTGAGTGCACCTCTCTCTCTCTAGGGGGGTTCGGGGGCATGCTCCCCCATAAGAAAATTTTGTGCTTTTTAATGTTAAATTCATCAATCTGGTACACTTTGAGAGTTCAAAATAAAGAGCTCCAACCCATATTCAGTGTGCAAATTGAACAAAGAAAAACTCAAAACTCTTTTAGTTGTGATATAGTGTCTGTCTACATTACACTACTATATAATAATAGTTATAATATTATGGCCAGTCCAGCCCTGCGTGAGTATAAAGGCAGGGGTGCGTTTAACTTTTGGAGCCAAGGTGTGCCGACCTTTTTTCCCTTTTTTATATATATTATTTTGTTGAGCACCCAACTTGAGCGTTTTACTGTGGAATACTGTAGGCTACTGCTTATAAACACCAGGCAGATATAATGATATGAAACAGATGTGCTTTACTCATCTCACTTGCACAAAATAAATGCAGTAATATAAAGCATAGAAACGCACAGGTGAAATACACTGAAAATATGCATTTAAAAATTTGGTCGGGTTGAAAACTTATCTCTCTGGTAATGGAAATCGGTCGCTGTTGTCTCTTGCTGTCTCCCGCTCTCGCGGTCAGATCACCGGAAGTTTTCGCCGGAAGTATTTGCCCACACAATAAAGTACGAACGTCAACGGTCGTCATATTGTGCACGTAGCGAATTCACTGCAGTCGGACATGGGAGATTCGCGCTCGTAAATTGTCAAATTGGCCATAACTTTTAATTCGTTGCTGGCAACTAGGGTGGCAGCAGGGGTGGCAAGGCTTTCTTTTAGGGTGGCATTTGCCACCCTATGCCACCCCGGTAGATCCGCCCCTGCTCTCAACACCAGAATCAGGGATATTAGAAAAATGGGAAGAAACTGACATTTAATTTTGTGATTCTGAGTTCATCAACAACAAAATAAGAATTAACGTGCACCAATGCTACAAATTTCCATGTCATAATCATTTGTTAACAGTATTCGTTACTTCAATGAGCTCATTGTTTCTGCCTCGTACATTGTTTAAATGCATTTTTTGCATACATGATTTAATTGTTTAATAACTAACTAACTGTGATTTCACATTTCTGAAATACATAACTTAGACAGTTACCTCTGATAACAGATCACTCTAAATTGTAATGTAGAAAGCTGCTTAGAAATCGTGAAAAACGCTATACAAATGAATGTGAATTGACATTAATTATTAAAGGCTGCGACCATGTGCACTGTATAAAATAGCAACTTTATACTTTTTTGCACCAAGTTTAAATAGTTAATGCCATTTAAACAATTCAAACAGTGGCAGATATTATTTGCATCTCAGTGCATTAGTAGCTTTAACCAATATTAATAGACACATTCCTTGAAATTAAATTCCAGCAGTGTTACAACCATAATGAAATGAGCCTTCACAATAGATAATGATTTATAATGAACATGGCAATTTATCGGTTCAATAAAATACCTTAAAAAAACGCGATCACCGTTTCGCTTTTACATTTCAAATCCCTCAGGTCTCCGAAAAGCCATGCCAATGTTGGTTCTTGTTTTATTACTGTCGCGTTCTCTTTCTCCAGCAGACTCTCCTCTGTTCAGTGTTTGTTTTAGATGGGTGGTTCCCATTTTGGAGGTTGGAGATTTAGCGGCTCCATGTCATTCTTGTTCGTTGTGACAACTGACCTCTTCCACTCCCACACCAGACACATGAACTTTTCTCCATTTAAGGATATGACAAGTCATGCTCGAGCTAGCGACCTTCCAGCAAAAACCATCCCTGATGGTCTAAAATATAAAGCTTAATAGGCTTACCATAGTGAATCAGGGAAAGACAGAAACATGTTTTGGAAGACGGATTGATGTATGGAATTTTATTCCGAACTTAAATTTAAAAAAAAAAAAAAAAAATTTATTACACTGTACCTTTAATTTTTAGTGCAAATAAACGTCTAACGGAAAAAGGAGAAAGATTAGTTCGGAAAAAGGCAAATTCGAATTCGGGTAGGTCGCAACTACCATCACCCACCTTGCTCTCCACGCCACTGATTCTGTTATCAGCGGGATTTATTTAGCAATTTCCTTTGGAGGCGGAGCTAGTATAATTAGCCTCTGCCAACAAGACCGGCTATTTGCACTTGGTGCAAGTAAACACTTCATTAAGCAATAATTTAAAAAAACGTGATTTTCTGTGCCATAAAACACCAGAGCCGGACAGTAACGGAGTACATTTACTTGAGTAGGCCTACAGTACTTAAGTACAATTTTGAGGGATCTGCACTTTACTCGAGTATCATTTTTGGGGAGTTCTCATGACTTTTGAAAGGCAAATATTATACTCTTTACTCCGCTACATTTCTATCCATAACCGTGAGTACCCGTTACTTCTAAAAAAAAAAAAAAAAAAAAAAAAAATCGGAAACCCTCAATTTGTTGTTTCCCTCTCAAACGTGATTGGATTGTGCAGCCAGGCGCCACTGATTGGGACAGCCTATCAGCAATCCCCTTCAGCTTTCTGCCAAAGTCAACTCCATGGTCAGATTTAGATAAAGAGACAAATCCATGGGATGAAGGCACAGCAGGGCCATCCCGGGAATGTGCCAACCCGTGGCCCCACCTCGCCAGACTATTTCAATTTTCTGAACAAGTTAATGATAGTTTTCGCTTCGAGTGTTTGCTGTGTTTACCAATACAGAACTTCATCACCGCCTACAAAAATTCATCCGCCAATTTGCGGATTAAAGCAACATGGTAAAAAGATGAAAATGACTTGATTTTACTTTCAATTCCTTTTCACATTCTCCAAGATATTAACATTTTTCATAACTCCATAGGACGTTTCTGTACATAAATGTAAGCACTGTGGCAGTAGTAATGCAATATTTAGAAAATGTACTCTTGATACTCAAGTATTAAATTACTGAACACTTGTTTTTAAAAGTACTTAAGTAGACATCCGACTGTAGTACTTTTACTTGTAGCCTACTTGAGTAAAATTTAGCAAGGGCTATCTGTACTTTTACTCAAGTAATGAAGCTGTGTACTCTGTCCGCCTCTATAAAACACTCAACATCAGGATAATGTTTTAAAAACTTTATTTCTCATATTAATCCTTGTAGACAACAATAAAAACAGCACTGTATTTTCGCACATACTGCTATGGTTGATAACTCATCTGCTTTTTAAATCTTGAAACGGGTCAAACATGAAGGCACATGAGGCAGAGACACTGAAGGGCTGTTTTATGCTGTAATAAATAAGCAGACGTTCCTATGGCTGTACCTGTGAACACACATGTAAACACTGGACCAATCTCTCGCTGCACAGCACCTAATGTATGCTACACTTCAATAACAGGCACTGAGAGGATATTAATAACTATAAATATTATAAATATACCTTTGAATGACTTTTTTTGCATCATTACATATTGTAAATAAGAATATCAAATACATCGTTCACAAAACAGTGCTTATATGGAGGGTGAATGGAAATGAATGTCAATAGCTGCTTTCATGCCAACTAAGAGAATAATAAAGCGTTATGTGCTGAACGTCCTGCATTTAAGCTTTTACAAACAGGTTCCATTCACATAACATGTAAACAAAGACAAAATATCGTTTTCCTATTAAACTCAGCAATGTAACTTATTATTGCAGATATAATAATTTTACCCAAAAAAGAAATCCTCACAAAAATCGCTGACCCCTTATAGTTTCTACTTAGCTTTACTAATGTATTAAATAACACTGCGACATAACGTAGAAATTAAAACAAAAGGATACAAATAAACTAAAGGAAAAGAATAAGAAGACCAACTGTCACTGGAAATCAAAGCCACACGCATACACACACGAGAGGAAGAGACTTAGGTTTCTATTGGCATTAACTGTCCCTCGCTCAACTCCACTTCCATGGCGGACGCGTCGAGCTCGGCCTGTGCTTCGTCAGGGAGGTGTGTGTGTGTGTGTGGGTCTGGATCTGCTGGCTTCTTCTCTTCTAAAGGACTCTCGTCTGAGGTCTGCTCTCCGGCTTCTGCTTTCACATGTCCTGGACCGGCTGCTTTACCCTCTGATCAACAAATCAAACCAGCGCTTGTTAGTAAAGTACTATTCCTCTGAGGAAAGAGGCATATCATTGATTTTGGATTGACTTGATTTTCCTTGTGGTTTTAAAATAATCTGTCAAACTAACAATCACAAATCACCCAGACTATTTCCTCTCAGCTAGTTGAGAAACTAGGTTTATGACGACAAAACCATAAATACATGATATGACCAAATCAGAGAGAGGGTGAAAACGGTAAACAGTAATGACAAGTTATGAATAATTTTTAGTTTAACATATTACCGTTTAAAAGTTTGGGGAAATATTTGTATTATAAAAAAAAAATATATATATATATATTCCTGTGATCAAAGCTGTATTTTCAGCATCATTACTCCAGTCTTCAGTGTCACATGATCCTTCAGAAATCACTCTAATATGATGATTTGATGATCAAGAAACATTCATTATTATTATCAAAGTTGAAAACCACTGTGCTGCTGCATATTTTTTTTTACAAATATACACTACCGTTCAAAGATTTACGGTAAGATATATATATAGACTTATTCAGCAAGGACGCATTAAATTGACCAAAAGAGTCAGTAAAAAAATAAATAAAAAGTTTAGAATAAAGACCCTTCTACAACAAGTAAGGGATAATGAACAGTCAGCAAAATATCCAATTATCAGGAAACTTACAAAGTACAAAATTACACAATACGGAAATTAAAATACTGTTCATAAAAAGAAGAATATTCACTGCAAACCAGCAACCAGACAGAGAGGGTGGAAAACAGGTTAAAATAAAAAAATAAAAAAGTGAAATATGAAATAAATGTAGCTATAACTAAATACCAAAATGAGGATACATAACAACAGAGCGCACACACACACACTGTATCATCAGTCATCACTTGCCATTGACTGAGCACATAATAACAGTAGAGAGCAAGACAGGAGTGTGTGTGTGTGTGTGTGTGTGTGTGTCAGGTAGAGACACAGGGTAAAGCCCTACTAACTAGGCAGCACTGTGGGGGGGGATACAAGACTCTAAAGCCTTTAATCACCTCACAGATCTGCTCTCAGTACATCAGCAAATGTCCTCTCAGAGGGCATGAGCAGCAGGGACACACACACACACACACACACACACACACACACACACACACACACACACACACACACACACACACACACACACACACACACACTGAACCTGCAGTAAACAAACCCACCCCTTCTAAAATCAAAACCTGTGCATAAGTCTCTCAGAATATGAGCATGATCCCCCCCCTCCTCCTGCTGGAGATCTGGTACCTGGGGCAGGTGGAGCACTAGACAGGTCTGTCTCCATGGCAACAGCAGGGGGGTCTTGGCTCATCTTGGCTTCTGCGGTGAATTCTGGGAGACGTGGGGCCTGGGGACGTGTCTTCCGGGCCGGGTTCAGGAAATAACAGTAGGCACATCTGAATGCTAAAACATCGGCGATAAAAAACAAACTCAACTTATCTGAAATGATCCTTAGACACATGAATATGAAAACCAACATGCAGACATTCACAATGTGTGAATCATCGGGGGGGCATTCAGACTTGTTTACATGGCAGAAACATCCTCTTTATGCTTTAAAGAGCTCAGTGACGAAACGAGCAGTTAAACGTCAGTCAAAGTCCGACGGTTTTCTCTGATTCTTACCAATATATTCAAACTCCTCCTTTAAAGCCATACCGTTATGAGACAAACACTGCTGGCATATCAGCGCATATCTGCAACAAAAAGAGAAACATTCTTAAATAAAGCTTTGAAAAAATATGCTGTGTGTTGGTAGCTACATTAAGTCTAAGGATGTAAGAGACCACATGACATTAAAATGCCGCATTTTCACACTGGTCTTATTGTGCACAATTCCTCAGTCTTCAAAAACTCGGGTCAGTACCATTTCTCTCACCAAGGATGCATTTATTTGATCTCATATATATATATATATATATATATATATATATATATATATATATATATATATATATATATATATATATATATATATATATATATATATATATATATATATATATATATATGTATATTAGGGCTGGGAAAAAATTAATCGTGATTAATCGCATCCAAAATAAAAGTTTTGTTTACATAAAATATGTGTGTGTAGTGTGTATAATTATTTTGTATATATAAATACACACACATGCATGTATATATTTAAGAAAAATGTGTTATTCATATAAAAATATGTATATTTATATATAATATAAATGATGTATAAATATATATACAGTATATACATGCAAATATTTCTTAAATATATACATGCATATGTGTGTATTTATATATACAAAATAATTATACACACTACACACACATATATTATGTAAACAAAACTTTTATTTTGGATGCGATTAATTACGATTAATTTTTTCCCAGCCCTAATATATATATATATATATATAAAAAACATTCAGTAAACAATATTGAGAAATATTATTTCAATTTTAAACAGCTGTTTTTCTATGTGAATATATAGTAAAATGTAATTTATTCCTGTGATCAAATCTGTATTTCCAGCATCATTACTCCACATGATCCTTCAGAAATCACTCTAATATGATGATCTGATGCTCATCGTACATCAACAAAAGAAACATTTATGATTATTTTTATCAGTTAAAAACATTTTTGTGGAACCCTTATATTTTTCTCTTCAATTAATAGTTCAATAGAACAGTGTTTATTTGAAATAGAAATCTTTTGTAACATTATAAATGTTCTGACACTTGATCAATTTAATGCATTCTTGCTTACAAAATAAATAAATAAATAAATACTGACCCCAACCTTTTGACCATAGTTTCTAAAAGGAAAAGGTTTTTAATAACAGTTTACAAAATGTAAACGTATCAACCAACTCAATTTAATTCTTGGATTTTTTTCATCCGTTTTATCACGTCAGACAAATAAATGTATGATTGCATTGGCAAGTAACACTCGTGTCAAATCAGGCAAGGTTTCATTAACGCGTGCAGCGCAGAACGAGTGTGTTCACAACACCCTCAGCAATAGAGATGCTTGCAATTATTACCAAGAATAAAATCCAGATTTTCTTTAACCCTCCAAACCAAGGCCTGCGAAACAATGACTATGTTTACATGTACAGCAATAATCAGAGCAAGGAGTGAACATAACCAGTCAATGTTCAATGTCAAATTCTTCAGGTTTTCTTATTTAAACGTTTTAGATGTGTGCTATTTTAAATCAGATCTTTTATTCTTTGAGCTTGCCTGAACTGAAGCTGAACTTCTCTGCATTATGTGGTGATCCTTCTTTTTCAGAAACCACATCACACCTTGATTCTGCTCAGTGTAAAGATATAAATCATGATTTGAAGAGAGAGCGTTCACCTGTTCTGAGGTCCATCACCCACTAGGTACTCAACGACCCTGTCCATGGCACCTCGATCTCTGGGGAGGACGGGTCTGGCCAGCGGAGGACCTGGAGGGTGCATTCCTGCGCGCACACACACACACACACACGTCAGTGCACACTGCAGACTGTATCCGTGGTGGCTCAGTGCAGTATGGCCGATGATGAATGATAAGAGGGACAGCTTTTAATAACGACACTGATATGGACCTCCCTCCTCATGCCCGCTGTGATCCACACTCATAATTAATATAATTTAACATCAAGAGCAATCATAGCCAGAAGACTGGTCATTTCTGCCAGACTTGGCATAGTCAGGAATCCCTGCTGCTTACTCATTTACCGGCATATGGAGACGCCGCAGTGGGCCAAGGTGCTTTTCACTTCCAATTTCTTCCTAAAGGTGTTTGCTTGAACAGGGCCCAGATCTGTTCACACACACAGCACACTTACGTGACGGACGCAGCAGGGCCCGTGTCACCTGTCACTCACTGCTAACAGGTGTGTGTGTGTGTGTAGAAAAAAAAAGCTATAGGATCTATAGAATAAAGTTAAAACACACAAAGCTCTAGTGTTATTTATATACTAATTTAGTGCTTATTAATATTTCTAATCACCATTTACTTGTCTTAGCTATGTTTAATATTATTTGTAATTTCAGCATGTGCTTCTGTCAGTTTATATATATTAGTTTCAATTTCAGTAAATTTAGTACTTTAACTTTCAGTTAACATGTTTCATTTACGTTTTTTGTAATATTTATATTAGTTTTATTTTATCTGGACTCCTCAACATCTTGTCGTTTTAAGTTTCAATTCACAAACGTTACAAAAAGCCTCAATTCATTCTCTCAATTCAATTGAGGTCAAATTGACAGAATATTTGATTATAGTTTTGTTTGTTTCTATAAGCAGCTTTTAATTGTTTCATTAGTTAGCAAGGGTTATATGTTCATAATTAAGTAGTTTGCACTGTTTACCACATACTACTTTAAAATAGTACATGAAACTTAAAAACATTTCACATAGCAGTTCGCTACATTGTTGTCACAGTTATCTCTGAAATAAAAACTTATATTGCCTTTTATTCCAATTTGGTGTAAACAATTATTAACTTTTGGTGATCAAAATAATGGAGGAAAAAAAAATTCAAGGTCTATTCAAAGATATTTGCAATGTGTGCTGATTGTTTACTGTGCTTTTTGGCAAATGTAGTGGGTCATTTAGCTTGAAAGAAAATCCAAAAGCTGTAAACGGTATGCACTACAGAAATAGTATGTATGGAATATGATATACAGAACATAAACGGCACATTTAAAAAACAAGGGCATCGACCACTCATTGGCTGACTATGACTGGTTGTCACAAAATGTTTTGTTCCTTTAAAAAGGAAATGAATACAGGTCTCCAGGGTCTAAAATGAACACTCGCCAAGTGCCAAATGAGAGGAGAATCGGCGTAAATGAAACTTGAAAGTACATTTTTATGAATTCTAACAATGCATTGTTGTGAGAACATGAAGGTGAACGACACTCAGGACAGTTGACAGGCCAGCGCCGCATCGCCTTGAAAGTTTAAGCCTTGACCAGTAAAATATTCAAGCGCAAGACGATGCAAATGAGAGCTCATTTCGTTTCTCGCGAAAACCACGTCTCAGACAGCGCCCGAATACTAAACTCTCTTTCACAACATCTTGCACTTGAGCAGACAAACTCACTCAAAATTATGTACAAAATGATAATAATAGCGAGTATCGCTATGTGTGAAGTGAACGTAAACAGTTGAGAAAGTAAACGCATGTGTAACAGTATCAGTATATTAGACCCGTGCCTAAAATACAACAAAAACAACCGACAACGAAAAAAAAAAAAACCTCACTGCTCTTAACTGAATAACTTTGGTAACTTTAATAAGGCTTCATTAATAAGGATGTTGAATTTATACAGTGAAGACTCTGCAGTGTTATTATTAACACGTATTCGTATTAAACCGTACGGTACGAGGCTTTCGGTTCGGTTTTCGGTACGCATTTTCAAACCGAACGGTTCGTTGGACCATTTTTCCTGCCGACCAAAATTTCGTTATTTCAAATGTAGGCGCGTCGCGCGTGGCAAGCAGTGTTGCCAACTTAGCGCCTTTGTCGCTATTTCTAGCGACTTTTCAGACCCCTTTAGCGACATTTTTTCAAAAAAGCGACTAGCGACAATTTTAGCGACTTTTTGGACAAACCTCAGTAACCTCCAAATGTTGCCAGTCCTGTCCTGCGAGCGCGAGGTCTTGCTTTCTCCCTGTCGTCACTCTCTCTAGCTGCGTCTCCCCTGTTCAGTGAATGGCTGAGAGGAGCGCACGGCCGCTGACAGACGCGAATGAGCAGTGTTTTTCCATGGACTTATCACTCATCTGCTTTTCTTTTGTTTTATATTTAAAGAATTTAGTTTGACCATTTAAATTTAATTTCTTTTCTTGTGCTTATTACTTGTAACACTATCACAGAGCTTAGTTCATCCGGTTCCCTAACTCTCTCAATTCAGATAATGTTCCACATAGGTCTATAAAAAATGTAATCATATATATTATAGCTACTCGTTCAATTGTCTGACAACAAAAAAATAGGAAATGAGAACAGCTTTATTTGACATTCGGCTATATTATATTGAATAGATAGAGCATTAATTTAAAGAGAAAACGCACTAGGCTGACAGAACGCAAGATGACGTCATCTAGCGACATGTAGCGACTTTTAGGGAAGGCCTTAGCTACTTTCCTTTGAAAATAGTTGGCAACACTGGTGGCAAGCGCGCTCATAATGTAAGAGACGCTGGCGTGACCACAACATTGCCCAACATCAAATGGCAAATGTAATGTAAGCGGAACGAAACCACTCGTTAGTGGGTGGTTGACGGACCGTTAATCAGTGTGGACCAATGCAACGCGAGCCGATCTTAATCATCAGCACTGTCACTACACAGCCAAATCCAGTAAAGAAAGCATTTGAATTCGCCACTGAAGTAATAACATCGCTGCGAGATCTAGTGAGAAACATTCACATTTCTCCAATATTAACGGATCAAACAGCGCTGACGTGGAAACCAGGAAGAGACATTGTGCCATGAATGAACTATCCAGTGTCCACAGATCAGCACCATTCACCTTGGATTTACTGTAGTAACACTACTAACTGTAACTATGGGAGTTTGGCAGGAATAGTAGGCTATAATGCTTTCATGAATACAATTGCTGCCCTCAAATGTTAATCTGAACCAAAATAAACCTTTGTTTATAACTACTACACTGCCCTACAAAGCAAAAAGGCAGTAACTGCATTTTTGGTCAAAAATGAGTTATTATCATTTTCATGACATTCAAGGCATCCTTTGTTATGTGACAAAACATCTTATCTCAAATGTGTGTCGTTTTGGAGAAAAATGGTAGTCGTTTGTACAGTAACTGCAAAAAGCCCTAGTGAAACAAAGCAAGAGTACAGTAACATCCATTACTGCATTCTTGTTATGTTTTACCTAACAAAAAATAACCGTGTTGCTGCGCAGTGTAGTTACTGTTGCCATGGTGAACACACAGCTGATTTCGCGGCATCCTCACGGGACGGTTTTAACATTTGCGATTTCACGCTTCTAACTTCACACAAATTTAGTTTGAGATGCAGTGTTTCCCCTAATTGTTCCCCTACCAAACTAACACACACACGCGCGCGCTGAAGCACGTGTGTAACGCTCGAGCTGTTTTTTTTGCCTATATGAGGACACGGTCTTCACGGCAACCCGTCAAAATAAAAGTTCGGTTTAACCTATTTTTTTACAGTCTATGGGTTTAACTTGACAGAAATATATTACTGCTGTACAGTAGAATTTAGAAACGTCTCAATGTAATAATAATACTAACACTAATACAAATAAATTAAGATTAAAACTAAATTTTTCTTCATTGTTTTAATTTTAACAGTAAAGCCAGAGACTATTTATATAAAGCTCATTGTGCAGCATGTTGTTTGACCAAAAATGTTTGTTTTTAAAATGTTGTCTAAGTTTAATAATAGTTTATAATAAAAGTTTCATGATTTCAATTAATTAGACATGATTTTTGATTACTAAAAATTTACACCACATATCCGTAACACGCCCGCTCTGCAACACTAGTTTCGCAACACAAATTTTTTGAAAATGTTGTCCAAATGGTTCCATTTATTTCAAACACAGTGTATCAGACCCAGAGCCCAAGTTTTGGCAAAGTAGTTTTGGGAGAATCTGTAGTTACTGCCTTTTCCCTTCGTATGGTGCCACGTTTTTGGTAAGTAATACAAAGCAAGAATACAGTAACTGCAAAATAGGGGTAAAATATCAAATTAAATATGAGGATTAATATGTACAAAGAATAAGCTAATATAAAGTAACAAAACAGCCACATGTCCAATAATCTACCTACAACTACTTAGGCTGGATGACAGGATAACTTTAAAGTCATTTTTCTCTGTTCTGCACTCTGCGTAGTTACTGCCTTTTTGCTTTGTAGGGCAGTACAATATTACATTTCATTTTGTCCGAGGAGCTGTTTTGTTTTATAAGCTCCTAAGAAAAGTCAAGTATAGCTCCATCATTGCTTAAACTAATAAAATATCATACTTTATGATGTTAATTTTAATAAAAATATAATTTAAAAAAATTTAAATCAAGGAAATATCTCTGGCATTTCTTTCTTTTTGCTGTATCGAAAACGTAGAGAACCGTGACACAAGTGTATCGTATCGAACCGAACCGTGAATTTTGTGAACCGTTACACCCCTATGAAGCACCATTACCACCCATCTATGCCAACCAAAGCCAATCAAACAGTGAGAGAGGACATGAGACTCACCCATCCCATGGGCAGGAGTGCCAGCCGGGGTCCCAGGCCTCCGGATCAGACCGTGTGGGGTTGAGGTGGACAGACCCTTTTCAGGTGGCCCACCCGGGGCAGACAGTGGAGTCGGGGGGGCTGATCCAGGACCGGGAGGTGGACGTCCAGCAGGACGAGGGGACACGAGCCTCTGACGCAGCTCTGAGCAGAAAATCACATGATTCCGACAGTAAAACACAAGAAAACACATAAAAACACACAAGTGTTCAATACGAAGCGTTTTCGACACCACAGAATCATCGGTATCTATGTATAGTGCGCACCTTATCTCACTCATAGATTTTTTTACCGTACCATTTCTAAAACACGTTAAAGGTGCTATATGTATTTTTTAGCGGCCTCTATTGGTGATGTTTCAGATTGCAACCAATTTTTACAAGAGCGCTCGTGCTCTTGCGCATGCTCGAACACAAGAGCGAGCACTCACGGCCACACTGAGACTTTCAACACACCGGAGAAAGCATCACACAACATGATGGAAACTCATGTGAACTCCCACTGCAACTTTATAATATTAGGCTACTTTTATCAGCTTGACGTTGAACTAATGCTCCATGCTCGTACCATGATAACGTTACATTTGTGGTGTTATCTAGCATAAGGCATTTCACTAACTATTCGTGTATCTTTCACAATCAGCAATGTCAACATAGATGAATGTATAATATGATAACGAAAACGGTTAGTGAACTAGACTGAACAATTTCAGTGTAACAGTAAGATCGTAGGAAGTAACATTACTGTACTGAACGTGTCTGGAAATGTGTATTATAAACAATATGATAGTAGTGGGATGAGTAACGTTAGACAGTAGATCTAGTACATAAAATAAAAGTTACATCCTAAAGCACCTACTTTTGTTATCCTGGAACAGTCTTTTGTATTCATTTCATGTCTCATGTATGTTGTAGTTTACCTTGCTATTTCATTACAGTTTACCATTATTTCAGCATATCTGAAAACGTGTAATTTATCACAATAAAAATAGCGGAGGTCTCTCCATAATTCAAACGCTCTGCCGATGTTGATCCGTGTTTTCCTCCTAAGTTGATCCGATGCACGTTTGATCTGACGAGTTTCAGCAGATACATTTTTGTTTTTTATATTTATGTGGAGATTGTGTTGGAGTGTGTGTTGTGCTGGAGGCAGGAGTGTTTGGTGTTATCAGACTCCATGTCGTCAGCTGCAGTGCCGTCGCATAGACTATATAATAAGGAGAGAGGCTCGTCACATCCAATGGATTTCGCAGTAAATACGACCCGGAGACTTCACATATAAATATGAATACTGGCCTTCAGAGGTAATAGCAAAACCCGACAAGTGGATCATTGTAATGTGTGATTACAACCCCTTCACACACAGGCAATAAAAAAAGTATTCATTTTGGAAGAAAAGTTACATATAGCACCTTTAACCATTACTCTTATTCTTATATATTCATCAAAATATAATTTATAGGAAAAGCCATCAAAAATACACATTGCAAATATAGGGTTCTTTCATCATCATGACTGCCAAGTTATAACACAGACACTTTGTTCCAGTTGGCTCATGGTTAAAACCATTTCCCTGCACACTTGGCATTTCTTTCATCAGTAGGAAAGTTTTCAAGTTAGTACACACTGATGAAAGTTTATAAAAAAAAAAAAAAATTGTATCTTGATGAGTTCATGTTGACTTTAGAGGGGGAAAGGACTTGTTCGCTCACCTTGGCCGTGTCTTGGAGTCGCCGGTGGGCCAATGGGTTGAGCTTCTAACTCCTAAACAAAGCAAAAACATTAATCCACCATCACATATGTGCAAATACATTTATTTACAGACATCAGAATAAGGAACTTACAAGCTTTTTCTTAGAGTCTGGGTCAAACCGTTCCAAAATCAGCTTGGCATTTTTGTAGGTTTCAGTTTCCATTACCTGTTCAAGCTGTGTAAGAAAACATTACAATCACATAATTACCACAGTTACATCAAACAGAGACGCCAACTGACTAACAATGAAAACTTACATTGTTAAGAATTTCAAAAAACAATTCAATTTTTGACATCAGTCCACGTCAGATAAAGGAGCTGCTTATTTTTTAGTTTAATTGCAGAAAGAAACCCAGTCCGTTTTCTCGCAGTCTCCTGTTTGGTTTAATTTTAAAACTTCATTTCAGGGAAAGAGCAAATAGTGCTAATTATTTAACTTTAATGAATAGAATAATTACAAGCCCTACTGCGATAATGGGGAGTGCGAAAATCCATCAGCTGTAATTATTGAAAGTTATTAGACATGACAGTGGATGACAGGCAATTTCTCAGATTTATTTCCTCCCATCACTAAACACTATTAATTTAAAGACAAGTCGTTAGCTAAGCACTTTACCAAGTAAAGTCTTTGTGCCAATTACCCGCTGTCTTCATTGATTTCAGATTATTTATTAAGAACAGAAATTATCTCTTTCTCTCACTGACAGCAGAGAGGCGCAATATGATGAAAGCAAAACAGGATGTTGTTGCGCTAACATTAGTATAGGGCTAACTAGCTCGCACGTGAAGAAAGAAGATCTCTGACTGGGTGAAATTACTAGCTCATCGCTCATATTAAAAAATCCTGACATTCATGAGGAGCCTGCACTCCAGTATCTCTTAAAGTTCCCCTGTAGTCAATCATTTTATCCCTTAAAACTCATCTTTGATCACTAAAATGACACATTTAAACCTTTTCCCCCTGAAAAAAAGTTTCTTCATGCCTTAAAATAGCTTGAATGTAACTCGACACCCATGCCTCATTTAGTATACGAGGTTCTATGAATATGCAAATTAGCCCCGCCTCCACACATTAATCTGATTGGTTACAAGGTAGTTTGTGAGGTCAGAAACACCAGCGATTTCAAACCGTGTTTTTGAGACGGTCTTTGGTTCATTGCAGTTTTAAGGAGAAAATACTCAGCAATGCTGTCGACTTATGAATTGACACATACCACAGGGGGACTATACAGGTATGAAAACAGACACAAACTAGCCCAAAATTAACTACACACCAGGAAGGGACATTCAAAGAAAGACACTGCTACTGATTACTCACTATTTTCTTTTTCTCTGCTTTCAGATCTTCTAATTTTTCATCTAAGATGCAAAATAGAAAAACACAAAAATTAAAGTGTAGGTATGATTAAAGACCCATTCACACCAAGGACAATAACTATACTAATGATAATTATTTAGTTCTAAAAAACTTTTTTTATAAAATGTAAAAAATAGCAGATTTCACACTTTTTTTCAACTTTTTTGAAAAATATTGACAGCCAATCAGAATCCATCCTGCTTTAGGAGCTTGAGACGACAAAACTGCAGCGCGGAGTTATAATAAACAGAACGATATCGTTTAGTTATCGTTCTTGTGTGAATGAGCCTTAAGACTACGGTGTCATCATTACAGACTGACCTCGTATTGAGATCAAATATAAAGTATTGAGTTCACAGGGAAACTCTTACTGTTTCTCTCTGTTCGTCTGTTGTATAAAACAATCAGCAGTTTCCTCAGGAGCCAAACTCTACAGGAAGGAAAAGCAACTCATTTATAGTTTCATTTAAAAGTCATCATAATTGGAAAAATGGTCTGAACTCGACGACTGAACCCAAAGTACTCACACCAGAGGAAATATCAAGAATGGCGACGCCACTATAACTTTCCCCATCATCTGCTCCGGGATGTACCAGACGTAGACGACCGTACAGGCGATCAAGTACAGCAGGACCGAGTACAACAGCAGTCGGTAGACCCATAGCTTCCGCTGCTTTTGGTTCTTCTCTCGGTTTTCCTCAAGGGCCTGGATGTCCTGAGAGAGATCATTCAGAAACACGTCATTAATGGAAAATACTGTCAGATTTGGATTATCACTCATATTTACAAAAGCATGATTTCTGCAGGTTTTATAAAGGGAAATTTAAGACTTTTTAAAAGACCTTTTTAAGGCCAAATAAAGGAAACTTAAGGAATAAACTGGAGGGAACGATACGTTCTCAAAATAAATGTCTAGGGAAAAACACAATGAGTATTAGAGTATATAACACTAATGTATTAGCAACATTTCAGAGTTTGACTATACAACTTACAACAGATATCCATTACTTTTTGACTAATTTCACAAAAATAGTAGCATAAAATATGAAGTCTTGTTTTCTGTGAAATTGATCAAAATTAAGTGAGTTCATGATTAAAACAAGAACAAATATCTACTAATGGACTCAACTTAATTCAAAGGGAAGTTTTCATAAAACATGAACAAACATCCATCAGCGAGTTAAGCATTAAACTTCTTGTGTTCTATTTCTCAAGACTTTATTTTACAAATAATGAGGCATCTTAAGTAAAAGTATCTTGATTTAAGGATGTTTAGATATTTTGTACCAGAAAATACGACAAAATTACAGAGGAAGAAATAATTTTTTGCTATGCATGCAACATTTAATGCCTTGATTATGAATTTATAACATTCTGCTCTGATTTAAGACCTTTTAAAGGCCTTAATTTGAGTAAGAGTGAATTAATATTTACACAACACCATTTTCAACTGGAAAATTTTATGCATTTTGGCCGTTAATTTATATGAATTTTTTAGGGTGGGGGCTAAAAATGCAAACTTTTGAAAACGGGTTTCAAAGTAACGTTTTGAAAACGATACCGTTATCATCTCCGTGTAAACAACAAACATAATTTTTTTTAAACAGTGAGGTCATGCGCATGTGTATTATGTGTTCAGTCTATAGGCTCGTAGTGTTTATTTACAGTGACATTGCCATCTACTGTTAAATACCCAAAGGAGAACTTGAGACAGGATCTGTTCAAAAGCAACTAATTTGATTTACCCGCACACAGATCTGTACACGTGATTCAAATTGGGCCAAACTTGTTTAGGACAAATCACATGTCTTTGGCTTAAAAAAAAAAAAAAAAAGAGTGTTACTCAGCCAAGCCCTAAGAAATGCCAACCGAACAGACCTCTCTCAGTGAGGTACCGCATAACCCCCATCCTAAAATATCTACTCAGTTACACACAGTGCCTGTACTGTTGCAGGCATTTGTGTGTCTGTAATGAGCCATGACTGAACCTAAAAAAAACCTGGTGTAATTAACACCAGTTTGAAGTCACCATCAAATCAAAATGGACCATTCTTATTTCATCATGGAATATTGCAGTATTTATTTTAAATGATTTATCTTTTTTTTTTTTTATAGTGCCCTCATACAGAGCCCCGCTAGTCCCACTTTGTCAAAAAATTTTATTATAACTATCTCGTGGCCTCAAGATTAGTAACTCGTGGCCTCAAGATAGTATCTCGTGGCCTCAAGATAGTAACTCGTGGCCTCAAGATAGTAACTCGTGGCCTCAAGATAAGTAACTCGTGGCCTTAAGATAGTATCTCGTGGCCTCAAGATAGTATCTCGTGGCCTCAAGATAGTATCTCGTGGCCTCAAGATAGTAACTCGTGGCCTCAAGATAGTATCTCGTGGCCTCAAGATAAGTAACTCGTGGCCTCAAGATAAGTAACTCGTGGCCTCAAGATAGTATCTCGTGGCCTCAAGATAGTAACTCGTGGCCTCAAGATAAGTAACTCGTGGCCTCAAGATAGTAACTCGTGGCCTCAAGATAGTAACTCGTGGCCTCAAGATAAGTAACTTGTGGCCTCAAGATAGTAACTCGTGGCCTCAAGATAAGTAACTCGTGGCCTCAAGATATTAACTCGTGGCCTCAAGATAGTAACTCGTGGCCTCAAGATAAGTAACTCGTGGCCTCAAGATAGTAACTCGTGGCCTCAAGATAGTATCTCGTGGCCTCAAGATAGTATCTCGTGGCCTCAAGATAGTAACTCGTGGCCTCAAGATAGTAACTCGTGGCCTCAAGATAAGTAACTCGTGGCCTCAAGATAGTAACTTGTGGCCTCAAGATAGTAACTCGTGGCCTCAAGATAAGTAACTCGTGGCCTCAAGATAGTAACTCGTGGCCTCAAGATAAGTACACTCGTGGCCTCAAGATAGTATCTCGTGGCCTCAAGATAGTAACTCGTGGCCTCAAGATAGTAACTCGTGGCCTCAAGATAGTAACTCGTGGCCTCAAGGTAGTAACTCGTGGCCTCAAGGTAGTAACTCGTGGCCTCAAGGTAGTAACTCGTATCTTGATAGTATCTTGATAGTATCTTGAGGCCACGAGTTACTTATCTTGAGGCCACCAGATAGTTATAATAATTTTTTTTGACAAAGTGGGACTAGGGGGGCTCCGTACCCTCATAATCTTTAATCAAAATAACTTTTTCAACTTACTTGTGCGAGGGCGGGGCAACCTGTCACTCACATGAGTTCCACGAATAGCAAACCACAACCATCCAATCAATTCCACATAGACAAAAAAAAAATCAAGCCCCGCCCCACATTTGTTCTTGTTTGAGAAGTTGTTTCACTCGGGTATACGTCAGAATAGAAAAAGACTATCCCAACTTCCGTGATTTAACTGCATAGGGACACCTTCAATGTCAGGAAAGTACAACACGCAGAATGAGGGATGGCAGAAAATGGCTAAGACTCATGCAGTTTTATACCTTATCGAGACCCTCCAAGACCTCTACGGTGGATGGCTTGGCCTGTGAAAGGGCACACAGAGTTAGCAATAAAAAAGCAAGCTCTCACCAAGAAATAAAGCAAAAATTTGCCCAATTGAAAATTGGTAGGAGGTACAAAAGTTTCTATATTTAGATTTGTATACCTTAGTTACGCACCTTAGTATGCAATATTAACACCATATATTTGTGCCATTTATCCATGCCACATTAAAATCAAATAGTAGGCTACATCATCCTACAAGTTTGAGTGACTGAAGCACATTTACCCTCCACCGAGACACCACAGCGCCCATCTCGCTTAGCTGTTACTCTCGTCACTCCACGCCAAAGCCTGACACCTGTTCACAAAGGAAACCGCTTCTTTCAGCAATAACAATAATTAAGTTCCAAACGAGATCATGATAGACGTTTTCCACTTGAGGTGATATCAGGATTAGAGAGCGGATTATAAAGACTCAGAAGGCTTTCACCAACAAATATTTGGACGCTTAAAGGGTTAGTTCATCCAAAAATAAACTGTCATGATTTATGTCGTTCCAAACCCGTAAGACTTTTGCTCATCTTCAGATCACAAATGAAGATCTGAGAGATTTCTGTCCTGCCATTGACATCTACACAACTGACACTTTGACGCTTCAAAATCTTCATAAAAAGATCGTAAAACTAACCAATATGAATTGATCAGTTTAGTCAAATTTTCTGAAGAGACTCGATCACTTTATATGATGAACAGATTGAAATTTGGCTTTTATTCACAAATAAACATTCATCAACTCACACATTAGTTGCGGTTAACGGAAGCTCAAGCATGTTCGCTGGACCTGCGAGAACCAATGAGGTTCATTCTCGTGTTACGCATCACGTTTGAGCTTCAGGAAGAACCAATGAGGTTCATTCAGGTGTTACACAGCACGTTTGAGCTTCAGCAAGAACCAATGAGGTTTATTCTTGTGTTACGCATCACGTTTGAGCTTCAGCAAGAACCAATGAGGTTTATTCTTGTGTTACGCATCACGTTTGAGCTTCAGGAAGAACCAATGAGGTTCATTCTCGTGTTACGCAGCAAGTTTGAGCTTCAGCAAGAACCAATGAGGTTCATTCTTGTGTTACGCATCACGTTTGAGCTTCAGCAAGAACCAATGAGGTTTATTCTTGTGTTACGCATCACGTTTGAGCTTCTGCAAGAACCAATGAGGTTCATTCTCGTGTTACGCAGCAAGTTTGAGCTTCAGCAAGAACCAATGAGGTTCATTCTTGTGTTACGCATCACGTTTGAGCTTCAGCAAGAACCAATGAGGTTTATTCTTGTGTTACGCAGCACGTTTGAGCTTCAGCAAGAACCAATGAGGTTCATTCTCGTGTTACGCAGCAAGTTTGAGCTTCAGCAAGAACCAATGAGGTTCATTCTCGTGTTACGCAGCAAGTTTGAGCTTCAGCAAGAACCAATGAGACTCATTCTTGTGTTACGCAGCACGTTTGAGCTTCAGCAAGAACCAATGAGGATCATTCTCGTGTTACACAGCACGTTTGAGCTTCAGCAAGAACCAATGAGGTTCATTCTCGTGTTACGCATCACGTTTGAGCTTCAGGAAGAACCAATGAGGTTCATTCTTGTGTTACGCAGCACGTTTGAGCTTCAGCAAGAACCAATGAGGTTCATTCTCGTGTTACGCAGCACGTTTGAGCTTCAGCAAGAACCAATGAGACTCATTCTTGTGTTACGCAGCACATTTGAGCTTCAGCAAGAACCAATGAGGTTCATTCTCGTGTTACGCATCACGTTTGAGCTTCAGCAAGAACCAATGAGGTTCATTCTCGTGTTACGCATCACGTTTGAGCTTCAGCAAGAACCAATGAGGATCATTCTCGTGTTACGCAGCACGTTTGAGCTTCAGGAAGAACCAATGAGGTTCATTCTCGTGTTACGCATCACGTTTGAGCTTCAGCAAGAACCAATGAGGATCATTCTCGTGTTACACAGCACGTTTGAGCTTCAGGAAGAACCCATGGGGTTCATTCTCGTGTTACGCATCAAGTTTGAGCTTCAGCAAGAACCAATGAGGATCATTCTCGTGTTACACAGCACGTTTGAGCTTCAGCAAGAACCAATGAGGTTCATTCTCGTGTTACGCATCACGTTTGAGCTTCAGCAAGAACCAATGAGGATCATTCTCGTGTTACACAGCACGTTTGAGCTTCAGCAAGAACCAATGAGGATCATTCTCATGTTACGCATCACGTTTGAGCTTCAGCAATGAGGTTTGATATCACGCGTTGAGCTTCTGTTTATGTTCGCTGATCAATGTTTATATGTGAATAAAAGTCTAAATTCAATCTGTTCATCATATAAAGTGATCGAGTTACTTAAAAAAGTTTGGACTAAACCACTCATTTAACATGGATTAGTTTAACAATCGCTTTATGAACATGTTGATCGGTCAAAGTTAGGGGTGTAACGATATTCGAACCGAACCGAAAAACCGCGATACAGAACACACGATTCGAATCGCGATACTCTAATTGCAAACCGAACACGCCCCGCCCCCTGCTAATCCCGGCCCCGCCCAGCCCGGCTCAATGGACCTCATGTCTTGTGTACAGTACACAACGAATTCAGTTTTGTAGCCTAACCACCATTAACACCAAATAACAAGCTCCGTGTTTTGTTACTTTCGATAATAAGCAAGGTGTAATCTTTCAAATTCTGTCTATTTGATCACGAAATTCAAACAATAAATGGCGTTTTGGCGCTGATGTGGCGTGACAGATCGCTGTAGGGCTACTAAGCTCCTAATTTCAAGCGGCAGCGCGGCGCGCGGGTAAACCCGATCATCTCTTCCTCAGTTACAGAATGGACACCCGAAGGTATGTTGAAAGATGCAGTATACTTACTGAAAGGCATCATAACTCGTGTAATCGCTCAATCAGTGTTTCAGCAGCGGAAAGACGTCAATAAAACAGCATAGCTTGTCACTAGCATTATATTTACCTCAACAGGCAAGTGATTCAGTGTCCACAACTTTGGTTCCTATAAATTAACTCTTGCACTAAATAAATGCACCATGTTAGCCTATATATTATATTTTACTTAACCTGTTAATGATATCTTGATTATTTAATGTATGTTTAAAATATCTTTCATGAAAATGACAACTGTGTAAAGTATTATATTTCAATAACAAATTAGAGTAAAAACACAAGTTAATGCAAAAACTGCCTTATGTTCAGTTTACATGTTTTCATACAATGTGTTGTGTGTTGATTATTATATCTAAAAAAAAAATAGCATCTGAATTTAGGTTAAAACTCTAGGCTACAACCTTTAATGTTATAGTAATTAGCAGATTTTTTTTTAATCCTTGTGAAACGTTTAATTGTAATTGAATTAATTTAAAGACAAAGATATTTTTTTCGTTAAACCACTGTTTAAAAAAAGGGAAAAAAAAAAGCAATTTTAGCTTTCTAAACCGAACGGAATCGAACCGAACCGAGACGTCAAAACCGTGGGAAAACCGAACCGTCAATTTTGTGTATCGTTACACCCCTAGTGGTAGTTGCGTAACTGTCAATGGAGGGACAGGAATCTCTCAGATTTCATTCAAAAGTTCTTTATTTGTGTTCTGAAGATGAATGAAAAAGTCTTACGGGTTTGGAACGACATGAGGGTGATTAATTAATATCAGAATTTTAATTTTTGGGTGAACTTTCCCTTTAAGTTTCACTTACAAATGTATGAATTTTGCTGCATTAGGTACAAACTAATTTAGTTTTTCGCAGAACCATCTTCACTTTTCTTATCCATTTTAATGCATGTTTGAAGTAGGGCTGTAACAACACGTAAATTAGTCAATTTGTGTGGAATGCGTCGATTTGTCGCACTGTTTGTTCATAATCTTCGGGAAAAAAACAATCGATAGAAAAAAAATTAAAGTTAGTTCCCTCTTCCCTGGTTTGAAGTCAGTTCTTCTAAAGATCCTATCAGAGAAGAATCCTGTACAACAACATGTATTCACTACAAACAGCAGTGGCTCTTGTCTTAGTTTTCAAAAAAAATATCAATTGTTTTTATAATTTTAAACCAAACCTTTTTTAATGCTTTGCTTGAAAAGCGTATTTGCGCTCTCTCTCGCTCTCTCTCTCTTTACAATCAATACCATTTAAGCTATATTTTGTTTTCTGATGCACTTTCAGAAATTGTGTTTTGACTGCACACACACTTTATGAACCCACTGTATCTCGCACAAGCAGGGTTAGATGCTCAGTGATATCAGATATCACCAGAGGAGCTCACAAAATCTGGAGGCTCTGAAAAGTAACAGGACACTACTCTATTTTAAACTGCAGGGTTCTCGGATAGAAGGACCTTTAAATGCAGACTGACTGTATGAATCAGAGCAAGTTAGATAGTGCATGTAAACTACGAGAAGGACCCATGTAAGTCACTTTATATAACTTGTTTATAATTCAACCTCACCCTTTCAACTTCAGAGTAACTTCAGGAAAAGTCGCTTTAAGCATAACATTTAATTCGCACTTGACTTGATACAATGCTAATCAAAAACTTCATGAGTTATTGATCTCATTCTGGTAGCAAAAACATTGCGCTTTAAATGTGGTAGCATAGAATAAACTCGCCGACTGATGATACTTCCTTAAACTAGAATAGCAAGAATACTTTATTAAAGAGGAATGACTTTAAGACAGTCTAACTCGCTACTAGCAGCTGATACAGCGGACATGATTAGACGACATGTTGTTCTCTTTCATGCACGCACTAGTACGCAGCTTTAATGTGCATAACCACGCCGAAATCTGACAAAACCAAACATAACTTAGCATGCCTTACCCGTGAACGCGAAATCCAGTAGAGACCTGCGTTATTATTCCTCCACTTCAACTGTAGACGTCATCAAACTGCTCCCACAAGCCCACGCGCCACGGACCTCCTCTCCTTCACCGCTCTGTCACGTGACCAAGCACTTTCGTTCTCTCAAAGCGCGGGAAAAAGGAATGAACTTCACGCCGTACTTCCGGAAAGTTCAAAACACAACGAAAGCAAAGGATTTATTGCCAAAAAATACACGTGTTTTACTTATATTATGTATTTTGATAGAAACAATAACACAAAATACGAAATAATAATATATATGCACCTGACACAGCTGCTGTTATTGAATTTGTTAACAATACATTGTGTTAAAAATGAATTAAAGGCTGTTTTAAAAAAGAGTGCTAATGTTGCATTCAGCTTGCTTTTTTATAAAAAAAAAACGAATTCATTGAAAGTCAAGCCATTAAAATGATTGTATAATAAAATCACACATATTAATAAATAAATACATAATGTCTAATCAGTAACGTTAAATAATGAAAATAAAAACATGTTGCGTGGTTGGCTACATTCTGGTGCTTTTATGCAATTAAGTGTGAAGGAAATGAGACTAGCCTAAATTGAGTTTGTCAATTCCATTCATTGCAATTGCATCATTAAAATCATTAGTTTAGGTGCCGTTGAGCATGACGAGGAGAAAATCTGACGTCATTGTAGAGGAGCAGAGCCTTTAGAGCATACTAATTCAATTCAATTCATTTCAATTCACCTTTATTTGTATACCGCTTTTCACAATGCATAATTGTTTCAAAGCAGCTTTACAGAAAATGCATGTCTACATTACAATTTAGAGTGATCTGTTATCAGAGGTAACTGTGTCCAAGTTATGTATTTCAGAAATGTACATGTACAAATCACACAGTTATAGCTAATAATGTATTAATTTAAACAATGTATTAATTTAAGGCAGAAAAATGAGCTCATTGAAGTAATGAATACGTTTGTTAACCAATGATCAGGATATGAATGTGAATTCATGTATGTTAACACTTGTGGCACATTTTTAGATTTACGCTATATTTTTTTGTTCAGTGTCACTGTAAAAGTGATAACGTGAAATTATAACATTAAGAAGCTGTTTACTTAAACCTTGAAATTGTTTTGTTAGTGTAACCTAATTTTTTGTTGTTGTTGTTGTTGTTGTTGGATAATTCAGTGATGTTAATATTTTTTAACTTGAATACAATACATTAATTGTCTTGTCAGCTGCTTGCAATAGAAATATATGTTTTGCAGAATTACCACTACTTTACCATTGAATAATAATAACAACATCAACAATAATATTAATAATAATGCATTATTGGCTAATCTAATTAATTTTGTTTTGTGCTATATATATACACACCGTACTGTGCAAAAGTCTTAGGCACATCGTTTTTGTGTGTGTGTGTGTGTGTGTGTGTGTGTGTGTGTGTGTGTGTGTGTGTGTGTGTGTGTGTGTGTGTGATCAAGGAGTCTGCAACAGCCGGTGCTCCAGAGATCTGATCTCACCATCATGAGTCTGTGTGTGATTACATGAAGAAACAGAGAAAACTGAGACAGTCTAAATCCAAAAGAACTGCAGCTCCGTCTCCAAGACGTCTGAAGAAACCTTCCTGGAAATCTACACTCTAAAAAATGCTGGGTTGTTTCAACCCAAATTTGGGTCAAATATGGACAAACCCAAATGTTGGGTTACAAATGTAATTAAAAAATGTACAGTTGAAAGTGAAAGTTGAAGTTGGTAAATTTTTAACCCAACATTTGGGTTTGTCCATATTTGACCCAAATTTGGGTTAAAACAACCCAGCATTGTTTAGAGTGTACCTGGAAAATATGTGGAAGTGTAGCTGGACAACAGCTGTTTTAAACACAAAGAGTGCTCACACTAAATATTGATTTGATTTAGTTCATAGAAGTTAACTGATTAATAAAATCTATTTATGACCTTATTTTTTAAAAGAATCCTGACATTACAGCATTTTTACACAAGTGCCTAAACTTTTCACAGTACACTCTAAAAAATGCTGGGTTGTTTCAACCCAAATTTGGGTCAAATATGGACAAACCCAAATGTTGGGTTAAAAATGTAATTAAAAAATGTACAGTTGAAAGTGAAAGTTGAAGTTGGGTTAAAATTTTTAATTACATTTTTAACCCAACATTTGGGTTTGTCCATATTTGACCCAAATTTGGGTTAAAACAACCCAGCATTTTTTATAGTGTAGTTTTGCAGGAAGGTTTATTCGAGTGTCTTGGAGACGTTGCCACAGTTCTTCTGGATTTAGTCTGTTTCTTCATGTAATCACAGACGGACTCGATGATGGTGAGATCAGATCATACCAGCTGTTGTCAGACTCCTTGTGCATACAAAAATATCTCTGGATTATTATAATAAGTGGCAAAAGGAATGTTTGGAAAGGTAAACTGATATTTCCTACAGACACACTACAGCAAATTATATAAATAACTGTCTTAAAACCATTTTTTATATGGTTTATATATATATATATATATATATATATATATATATATATATATATATATATATGCAGTATAAATATATTGTGGTCTCATTGAATTAGTCATGCAGTATCCAGTATTTGTAATTAATTCAGTTAAAATAATCTGTTAAATAAATCTGGCCTGTAATATCTCAATATATTATCCCATATATGCAGCACTTTGTATTTAAATGATTAATTATCATAGTTGGACATTATAAGACCATTGCAAGACTGTTAAAAAGAACAGCAAATATGGGGTGAGAACTGCCAATGCTTCATCCGGGTGTTGCTGTGTGTTTGGGATCTGATCATGGATGAGCTCTGAGTGTTGAACATCCAGCGGGAATATTGAAGATCAGCACCACGGACAGCAGCAGCACTTATACAGGCAGAACTCTCACAACACAGGGCGAGTGAATCCTAAACCATAATCACAGAAAACTTCATGCATTTTCACATTTTCAAAAGACATCAGAATGATTTATAAGCTGTTTTCCTCATGGGGACCAAAAAATGACCCCGCAAGGATTTCGGATATTGCCATTTTTGGGGGGACATTTTGTCCCGATAATGTAGGATTTATCAGGACACACACACACGCACGCGCGCACACACACACACACACACCCACACACACACACACACACGATTTGACCTTTTTTTGAAAGATGCTTATTGAATGAATGAATGAATGAGGCATTTATATAGCGCTTTCATATATACACCCAAAGCGCTTTACAAATATATCAGGGGTTCTCTCCTCAACCAGCACCAGGAAAGGTAAACTATTGTACATGCATTGTAATTCTCTGTCAGAAGCAATAGGACTCTGATTTCTATTGCTTATTACTCAGTTCTAGTTGAAGTTTGCTGTAGTTTTACTCAACCCAATACACTTTATAAAGCCTTCATTTATGAGGTGAGACCAATTAGAGCCGATTCAGACATCTCAGATTCAATAAGGGGTCTGTTTGTTTCCAGTATGAATATTGATTCAAATTGTGGTCGGCCTGCATAAAACATTTGATCATTTACTTTAAAGCTAAACGACCTGGAAATCTGTAAACCGGATCATATATTGTATATATTGGTGAGCTATATGTGCGAGTATTTACATATTAATCATTGACCACTGTCAGTGGGACTCATTTAAAGCATTCCGTGTTAGTAAGATGGGAACAAACGGCGAGACTGACAGACTGCTCGTGGATTATAGTAACAGCTGTCAAGAACATTACAGTGCTACAGTATCACTCCGCGTGTGAGGTGCCAGTGAAGGCTGCAATAATTGTATTATTTCTCAGAAATATGATTCATCTGCGAAGTGTGATGTCATTTCAGGTAGTCGCAGTGATTCGCAGCTTCAAGCCTCACGGCGCGCGCCTGATACGAGCTTTGCGCGCATTACAGTTCGCGTTAAGCATTGCCAACTTTCCACAACTCGCAGTCCATTTCATTGCATCTAATTAAAAACAAGCCTCGGGTATTATTGCGACGGAAGAGGTTATAATGGCGCCGTGCACGATGCTGTAATGACGCTCGTCAGGAGAGATTTAGGCCTATTATCAGGCGTCTAAGTCTGTTGAAATGAAACTGACAATGAGTTAACTTTATGGTTAATTAATTAAAGTAATACGGAATAAATGAATGGTGCTGGTATAATACGCGTTGACAGTACTGTGTTTGCTACTTGCTTGCCACTGCCTGTCAGATTTAAACGGGAGGAAAGCAATAGGCGTGAGCGTTTTCTGCACATCATCAGACGAACTCAGATCCGTTCCAGAATGCATTTGCCAGGTGACATTCACGTTGTGATGTATAGATGCACTTGCCGTAAATGCACGAAATGCTCTGTTCGTTTTCGATCGAGATGTTGAGGTGAGTTGACAGTTTCTCACTGAAACGGAGTCTGAAAATATACATCGGCAAGAATGTGATATAATTAACGTGTTATTTTTTTTAAACTATCATGTTTTGACCCCATTTTCTCTTGCAAACCAGACCTTCTCATTGGCAGCAAAGAGACAGCTCAGCCGTTAAAGCAAGTGAAGGCAATTTCCAAGGATAATTGCGAACATGTTTTAATACATATGCATGAAAAACGTGTTCTTTTTTTAGAGAGAGAGAGAGAGAGAGGGAGAGCCTTCACGTGCTTATGCAGTTGATTGAGGGGATGACCTGCAATTCAAAATGTTATTTGAGCACTATCAAAATGTGCAGACTTGCAAATTGCCCAGCTTGTATCTGAATTACTACCCCATTCATCATCATTATGGGTTGATAAGTTAATTTAACCATTTCATTCTGTCTTAATGAGCTATAGTTAAATTAATGTCACATAATATATGAAAGCAACATTTGAACAGAAGCGTTCATTTGAGACAAACAAGGGTGGCCATAGTTTCAATTGATGCATAAATCTCCTCATCACAGCCGGCGCGAACCTTTTCTCTTCTGTTCACTCGCTTTTCTTTAATGGTGACATCAAAAACAAAGCGAATAGCTAATAAAGCTAAGCTGAAGACTAGCTGTTTAACAAACTCAGTAGCCGAGATATTATTTTCTTGTTTCTTGTTTAAATCACCTGTGGTTT